CATATGCCTCTGTAATAAAAAAATTCATTCAATTTTAATGAGATGGGTGCCTCAAGACCTCCAGATGCACTCCAGATTTATTGACTGGTTTACCACATCTTGAAAATTACATAGAATGTTATAATGTCATATGATATGATATGATAAATAACTTACACGTGTTTTTAATCTTCTGACATTCATTTACCCACTGAACTTTTTTAAGAGAGATAGGCACGGAGTTCATTGACCTCTGCAGTACTGTTATCATTTATGTTTGGACACCTGTGCACAGAAATATTGCAGCTATTTAAGTTTTTTTACTATGAAATTAATCTGACATACAAATTGAATTTTTCCATGATTATTACATTGTCTTTGTTTTACTGAATCGGAGGAAACTATTTGAAAATATTTGCGTACTGTATACAGCTTAATTACTCACTGTGTTTTATTTTTGCTTATTGCTAAAATCACTAAATTAAAACGTAGTGAATTTATATAGTGAACAACAATATGTAAAATATATTTTTTCTCAAACCAGTGAATTTTAAACGCCATAATGACCCCTGCATCATCAAATCTAATAAAATAGACCATTTTCTCTTCACAGCAAGATTCAACGTCATGCATGAAATCGAACGTCAAAATACTAGTAGAACAAATGAAAGTTATAGTGTCTTAGTGACCTCAAAACAACGCGTTGGATTCAACAAATGCGGAAGTACTTGGACGGGATTTGGGGCGGGGTCTATATTTCCATGCTAAATAATATGCTATACACATTTGACGAGAGTCTATTTTGATGAATTAAGGGTATAAAAACGCAACTTCAAAGACCGCGTATCGACACTGAGCTATTAACAAACCAGAAAACAGAAAATCGCATATTAAACACAGTGAATCATATTTAGGTAAAGAGAATACTATAGTAGTTGTTGTCTTGTGTTGTGTTGTACAAGTACACTACTTATCTATAGAGTCAAACCAACAACCCATATATTGGCAATCGTTTGAACTGAATTTGATATTTGAGAGTAAACCTGTCCAGTTGTTCGTAACACACACGGAGTGCTAATCGCACACAGTGGGTAACCCAAGGCATTATAACATAGACTTAGTGTTTTATTGTCATGTGATATTGTGTATGAACACAGGTAACCTAGGTATCAACAGAGCTTGGTGAGTTATAGTGAATGCAATGGATTGTTATACCACTGTCAATGGTTAACGAAAACCTCCGTGAACTCAACAAATATGACAACACTTTGATGATTAGAATCATTAATTAAAATTATTATTATTTGTTGTTTAATTAGCGAGCATATCCCAATAATTTCGTCGCTTCTATAATATATTAGACTGGGATAAAATGTCACGAAAGTTGAAAAGTTTATATTCCAATTGACCATATGTAGATAGATATCTGAAAGCCTCGTGCATATAAAAAATACAGGATAGTGATCATCACGCAGCGCGTGTTCGATTTTCATAGAAATAAACAATGCATTTTACTCTCGTTGCATGATTTCAGTATCGACCATGACGCAGCGACCACCGCCATTTAAACACCGTCTTTTATATATGTTGCTCATCTCTTTGATATATATATTTATTTATTTTATTTGATATATATATTTATTTATTTTATCCGGTCGTCACTAAAATCACGAAGTGTCGCGGGAATAGACAATGTGTAAACAAATACGAGAGGAAGTAATAATTTCACGCTGGAAAAGTAAAACTGTGAGATTATTTTGAGAATAACGTCAAGATTCCATACACGTAGTAATATTATTGGCTCTAAAAAACACTGGCCGAACGACTCGGCCTGCCCGCCCCACAGTACATTTTTCCCAGTGTCAGCTGGGAGTGTCAACATGTCTGAAGTTTGAATTTATTACATTATCTAGACACGTGGACTATTTGTTTTAATCACGTGACGGCATAAAGTATATTTGTTTATGGATGACGACCTGTTGTGCCGTTGATGGCGCAATTCTACACACGTTGTGTACATACTCCTCCCATGGGAGAAGTTTTTCATTACTAGTATTGTGAGAGCATAATATAACAAACATGGAGTCAATATGTATAATTTCACCTATAATGTTGTTTCATCTTCTATCGTGTACATTAAACAAATAGGTAACAAACAGTACGGGGAGGTAAACCCTTCCCCATACTATATATGCCGAAAACACACCCTTTTTCCCCCGGGCCTTTTTCATACTACATGCGTTAAAATGCATGACCTTTCTCATAACACACAGGTTGAAAAGCACACCTTTTTCTCATACTACACGGGTTGAAAAGGACACGCTTTCTCATAGTACACGGGTCGAAAAACACACCCTATCTCAAGGTCCATGGGTTGAAAATCGTATGCTTTCCCGTGCTGCTTAAATATCACACCTTTCTGACAGTACATAGGTTGTGTTGAGACTTTAAAAATGATGGTTTCATATATATATATATATATATATATATATATATATATATATATATATATATATATATATATATATATATATATATCAGTTCTTTTTATTTAGATCATGGCAATTTTTTGGTCAGAGCGCCCTCTAGTTTTGTGGAGAATCATGTTCATTTGGAATGCTCTGATTGGATGGAAGTTCAAGCCTAGCAAGGT